TATATACATGACAAAATATGGAACAAGTGAAGACAGATGCATATCTTTCATGGGTAACTTGACCCACTATTTCTGAACATGTGAAAAACTAACCATTGTTTTGCTGTTACTGTGAAGTATTTGGGAAGAGCTGGGATTCATTTACCATTCTGATGCATTTACAGCTATCTTTGGGGTGATCAGCTATTTAAAACCTGTAAACAAGTATGAATGGATTTCAATTCTGTTTGGAATATCATAGCAAAAGATTCAATACTACAGTAGCGGAAAAAAGGACTGCATTTGAGTTTTGGAAGGGAGAAATATGTGTTACATCTGGAGAGGGTAAGACTTCTCAACAATAACAGACATAATAAATTTGAGAAATCCTGGAATCGTGTGTTAACATTTTTGAATGGGAAAAAAATAATATGCTCTGTGTGAGCGTGTGTTTCTGTGTTACGTATTTATATTGTGTCTATACAAGATGTTGTGGCTATTGTTGTCAGACGTGCTGTTTGTCTTCCATTCGAAATACAATAAAAATTCTCCTTTTATCCTGTTTTCACCTTGTCCTGTTTTTTCTCATTGTATTTCCTTGTTCTGTGCTATTGCTGATTTGTTAAAAAATAATAAAAGAAAAAAATGAATAGAAATATTGACAAAATAAAAGTTCAATTTTGGCTTTAGATGCAGTCAACAAAATCTGCCACAGTGTAAAAACTGTCAATGAATATTCAAACTCAAAGTCAGCAAATTATTGACTAAGCTGTAACCATTGTGTGGGGTAGAATAAAGTCCACAGCTTATTACAAATAAATGCGAGTATTGCATAAATATTCAGCATGATGTAGGCTGAATTACACTGATTCATGTTGTTTAGAAAGTTAACAAAAATAAGTTTGAATGAGATTTAAAAGTTTGACTTGAAGCAAGCCATACAAATATAAAATAAGCGATAATAAGATCTGCACTCAGCTCTGATGCCCTTCAGTAAAGCACCTGACCTTGAAGAAGCTTATCGGAGGTGATTCACCCTCCGTCTCCAGAGATAAGGGGGATGTGGAATATATAATAAGACACTCCTGCAGCAAAGTGAAATATCCACTGTGAAATATCTTTATTTATGCACTAATGAAAGATGGACTTAGTCCAGTAAACACAATAACATGTTCATCATCATCACAGGGGATATGTACAAAACAACAAACGTTGCAGCACTGAAACCAGGAGTTTTTCCCCCTCTTTGGTCAAGAGGGCAATGTAAAAAACTAAGACTTTCAGAATAAACAAGAGCTATTTTCTTTAAAAGAAGCTGTAACACCAAGTTGAATAACTGACTATAGTCATACAGATTGTTAATAAATGGCAAATTAGGTCAGTACCCAAGACATAATTTGGAGAATACCAATTTGACAGCATTAATTAGCACTTAATGAGAGGTTAGTAATACGATGCTCCCTCTTTTGTGTTTTTTCTCAAAAACATTTTTTTAATTAACTAAAAACTGTTTAACATTTTATTGGAAAAATGGAAACTAACTTCACTCTTTATTAACAATTCTCTGTCGATGAGAGTATGGACCATACAGGTAAGAGTATTTTCGCTCTTTAGATATTTATTATAAATTTGCTGATTTGGATCTTGCTCACTGTGTAGTATCATTACAGCATGTCCACGAATCATCATTCCCCACCTTTTAACATTAAATACTTTGCTGTTACATGACATTGTCATGCTTGTGTTACCTCAAACGTGGCAACTGATAGTTATTGCTTACAGCATCCAATCAATCTCAGAACAGCCACCATCTAACCATTAGATTATCATTTGCCATTTACTAACACTGTTGTGGTGAAATTCCAACTAGATTTTCAGTATATCCTTCAGTATATTCTTTGTACATCAAAATAAAATGTATGTTTTGTACACTTTGATTCACTTTGATAACTGTGTGCACATTGACTGGAATGATTGGTATGCTTTAATATGAACTGTTTAAATACAAAACAAAACTGAGTAATTCAGCATTGAATCTGGGATAATATACAGTTACCAGCAAATGCTAATTGGTGCACTGTAATGACGGGGCTGAACTTCAGGGAATCATACATACTTATTAGTGATCACTTAATCAACTAATGGACCGTCAAAGGCAGAGGAGTCAAGAATAGATCCAACCTGGCTTTCGTGTTCCGCTCCATGCAGGTTTTAAGTTAAAACAAGACACCCAAAGAGCTCATATGTTTTTTTTAACTTTCAAGGTAAGCATTTAAAACCTCAACCAAGTATCCCCCTGATGCCCTGCTTAATCTCAGCATTATAAAAAATACATGCTCCCTTCTGAAAAATCGGCAGTATTGAGCTGCAGTTGGATCGTGCAGATATATTAACACTGGTCTGATTTTTCTCTGCAGAGGCGTTTACTTATCATAGCTGTCTTCATGTTCTCAGTAAGTACAACTATACAACAAATGCCACTAAACTCACACACTCATACACACATCCACACACACACACACATATATACTGTATCTGATCAACTAGATAGAATGCACTTTGTCATGAAGTAACAATAAAACTCAATACTTTGACAAAACAAATTATTTTGTATTCCTACACAACATCAAATACAGTTTAAGGCAAAAATCAACAATTCTACAAGTAAAACAACCCAAAATTCAAAAACATACATCGAAAATATTTCTATTTACAATATTTGCTCATAGAAAAATATGTTCAACTTGCACAGATTTTTAAACATGACCACAATAAGACTCAATTCAACCTCAAGTGCACAAGACGGCATCTGATTTTATCACAAATCTATTGGTTCCAGGGCAGCTGTAATAAATGGACACAAGGGCATCCTGGTAGAACCGACAGGGATTGTGTCTATTATACAATTCTGCGAGCTACACAGCTAACATTGTATTGAAATATTGGGATTAAATATTTCAGAGAGAACTTGGTTTAATTTTTACACTTTCAGATACAAGAATGAGACTCAGCACAGCACAATGTGTGCACTTATCAACTGAAGTGGCTGTGCCATGAGCATTTGTTGTGGTTGGCTGGAGCCACACATGTAGTCTCTAACTAACTCTAATCTGACATTGCCTAACAGCTGGGGGATGGCCAGCGGTTGTGGCCCATTTGTGTTCTGCAGTGACCTCTACTTGCAAAGCAGTTACAGACTTTATAAGTCAGTTAGTTAAACCAACGCACCATGTTTTTTGTTTGAATGTTTGAAAATAAGAGGACATATTTAAAGTTTTTTTTATTCAGATATAACAACTTCTATACATAATAATTTATATAATCTTGTCACTTTTAGCACTTATTACAATGATTACTAAGTCTGCATGTCTTGTATAGTTTGATGCTATCCAAAGTGAGAATGACACAGTGTAAATGATAAAACACGTTTGAGATAAAAGTTATTTTTCCATGTTCTTTGTCGTGTTACTTTTTAGTGACATGAAGAAGCAATGTTGAAATATTTAAGCAGCAAATATTTAACTAGTTAAAATTCTGAATTTGACTGCGAAGAGTGTGGAGGTATTTAAACCCTGAAAAAGTGCACTGCAACTACCAGTCAACTACCAATCAATACTTGCCATGCTAATTATGCTTTCACTGTAATGATTTAGGCAAACATGTTTTGATCACCTTTTCACGGCTGTGTCTATCAATCAGAAAACATTTTCGGTAAAATTAACACTTTTCTATGAACTATTTATTCAGTCGTTCAGTAGTTACAGTAACCAACAAGCAGTGACAAGAAGTACAAATACACCAAAATGCATCTCTTTGTTTCTGAAGCTCGAACTGCAGCTAAATCGAGAGCCACTGCTGTGTAGTGCAAATGCAACCTCGGGGGTCGAGCCGTGCACACCACAGTACTTCAGCGGCTGCGGACCAGGTCTGAGGCAGCTGTCAGGTGGCATGTTCTGCCTGACTGGTTGAAGGGGAGGGCGGTGGGGGATGGGAGTGGGGTTGAACTAGTACTAAGCCAACCACAACGTGAGGGGAAACATCCAACAGTGTGAATAAAATAGAGGCAGAGGCAGGAGTTCAGAGAGGTTGGGTGTTTGGCGCTCTGGATTGCAGAGATTGAACTGAAATGTCACAGTGATTCTGTGTCCAGAGGCCCACACTGGGATAATGTGTGTTGAGTATTTACATCAGTGGAGTCAGTGCAGAAGTCATTCAGCATGACCACCTCTCAGCACAGCAGTCTGAATAGGACCGTGGTACGTGCAGCATCTGTTAATCAGCTGCTAAGGCTGGAAAAGGGTCATAATAGCTTCAAGGTAGCCACAATCATCATTTTTCATCCTCTGCAGCATGTGTGTGTTCATAAATATGTGTGTACAGTAACACTTTTAATTACATTCTTAGGTTTGACAGTGAGACACAACTGAAGCTTAACACAAACGTTGACAAAAATTGCTGCCGTCCTTGGCAGCTGTTTCAAATTTAAGAAGACCGAGTGACCTTTTCCACCGAGCAGGTCAGGAAAAGGACCAAACAGGTGGCGAAGTGTACAGGGCCAAGCAGGAGGTAAAGAACAGGAGGATCCAAAGTACACATAGAGTAGGCAGAGGTGACGCTGTTAAATGAGAGGAAGGAGAATTTGAGTTTTACTGTAACGCAGTTCTAATTTCCCATTTGCACAACTCAAATTGCACAGACAACATTTCTAAATCAATATATGAGTGGATTTCAAGCATTAACAGACATTGCAGTTGAGCTTGCATAATCATTATCATAGCCAGATCTCCATTCAGTCCTGCTAGGGAACTGCTGCTAATAATAGCACCCATTACTCTGGTTGCCACAGGAATATGTGGTATTGAGAAAAAGAGAACGATTATTCCCCCGTTGTTCATTTTTCCCTTATTTTGTGCTCTTAGACTTATTTATGCATTTAAATTCAAAATGGCTCTCTGACTAAAAACATGAAGACTGCAAGTCAGATCAGATACAGCACAGAACATCATTTAATCAAGGTGGACGCTTATTGACTGTGCTGGAGCTCAACAGAAGTGAACAAAATCAATCTGGGTTTGCGTCATGGCTTTGCAGAGCCTCGCGCTGTTAAGATTAACACACAATGCAGGGAAGTAAAAGGTGAAAACTTACATTATTCAATGAGGATTAATGTGACAGTAAATAAAACATTACTTCGCAGACGTAACATGAGGAGGTGTATTACAGCAGTCTGATCATAGGCTGTCTGAAAGAGCCTGCCTACAGTTTGAAAGTGTGTGAAAATGTTTAATTTGCAGAACACACAACACTGATTTTCCATTTTGCACAAAATGACAGGGCCACAATTAACTCTCACAAAGTGATACAAAGAGACTGGCTTTAATCTACACTAAATAATAAAAATTGGGGGACCAATGCATGCCACTGTTGTGCTGCTGAACACTCGACTGATGTTCAGTTTTAGGTTGGACTAATGGTGCAAATATTGAACTCTTTCTGCTTTCAGATCTAACAATGTTTTTCTTAATGTTCTTCTCATGAACGTTTTAAAAAAACAACACTAATCTGCCAAGTACTCCTTTGTTGTGATTTGATAACACAGACAACTAAAATGCTGCATTTTGAAAAGCTTGGCCACTGTGGAAAAACTCAAAATAAAAACAAAAATGCAATGATTTGTAAATGTCACAAACCGATACTGTATTCACAAAATAAATGTTTAAACTGAAATAAATTACTATATAAGAAACATAGTGGCTTGTTTTGAATTTGATGGAGCAACATATTGCAAAAAACACTTGGGTCCAGGCCATATTTATCACTGTATAGCATTCCCTCTTCTTTTAACAACAGCCTGGGAACTGAGGAGACTACCTGCTGGACTTTTAAGAGAGGAGCATTCTCCCAGTCTTATCCAATGTTAGATTACAGCTGCTCAACAGTTCTGGGCTTTGTTTGTCATATTTTCCTTTACATGATGCTCCAAATGCTTTCATTTGGTGAAAGGGCTGCACAGTCTTGCTGAAATATGCAAGGCCTTCCCTAAAAAAAGACATTGTCTGAAAGTTCCTGTTATTAAAAATTCAAAATGAGCTTTTATTTTTCTTATTTTGTCAAATATGTTTTCTATGTTCTATTTTGAGACTTCCAAATTATTGCACTCTTTTATTTACATTTTACACAGCGTTGCAACTTTTTCAGAATTGGGTTTGTATATCTGAGACAACAGAGTCGACCAACCCAGAGGTGAAAGGTTTTCTCTATGTCACGTATTATTCCAAATGTTCCCTATTCAAGATGAATAGGCTAACAGTTTTCCTTCTGTTTTTTCCTTTTGTTTACGTTATAAGGTGTATGAGAGTCTCATATGGCTTTATGAGATTTGTAAATCATTCCATTCTGTTTTTCTAGCTCTGGACGGATCAGTCTAAGAGACCTGTGCCTCATTTGTCTGTGTTATTTCTCAGACACACTCTGCTGCACCTAACCACTGCACGTTAGCAAGATTATGCATAATAATCCCTCAATTTCCTAAGAAAACTGTGTTTCCATTTCAGCAAATATGCATGGAATATTGAACCAAGTCTATAAAGGACAGTCTATAATCTGCAAAGGGCAGTAATATACTACACAATATGGGGCAATAATTTGTTTTGTTCAACCTGTAGCTTGTCCAGGATATAACTCCTTATATTAGGTCTCACAATCTTATATACTGTCCTATACTAGCAAAATTGCAAAAAACTATAAGAAAAAAGCAAACAACAAATTGCAATGTTATAACCTGGAATATGGAATAAGATGTAACCTTGGCCCTGGACACTAAGACCCCTTTGTTCTCCTCTTCTGTCCTCCAGCAATCCTTTCATCTCTTGTCTCTTGTCAGGGAGTTGTATCTCCGCGATGCATGGAGGCTCGTCCCCAAGCACCTTGTCCTTGCCCTCCTCCTCCTCCGCCTCCCCCACCACCATGATCCTTATCCGATTCTGGTTGGCTCTGGGCTCGCTCAGGCTTAGGGTTGGGTGTGCACGGGGGGTCAGGTTGTTGGACTGACATGGTCCTGCGCAGGTGGGTTCGTTTACACAGAAAGTCAGGCTTCGCTGAGAGACCGAATGAACCTTTCCTTAAGACCATGCGAACTGAAGGAGATTTCTTAGGTCTGGCTCTGTGCCCAAACTGAAGAGTGGAGAGGTGCGCTGCATAACCTTCGCTCAGGAACTACACATACCACACAGGCAAAGAGTTAGAAAATCTGACAAGGAGAAGTGAGAAGATCAAAGTACATAAATGTAAATTGAACTACCTGGCACTGATTTTGGTACTTCTTCGAAGGTCTGCCAACAATATAAATTTGTGAGGGGCTGAGGCCTAGCATGTTGTAAACAGAGATGTCCTTCATGGAGCCATAGGCAGAGTTGATCTTAATGTGACACTGGTGAAAGAGAAAATAACCAGTCACACACGTGTGACATTTTGATTCAGCACATCCCAAAGCTACAAAATTGTGAGTGAGAGAGTGAGAAAGATCTCACTGTACGGCTTGGACCAAAAGGTCTTATTTGCTGTATATGTTAATGCCTATGTTAATGTCAGGATTTACCTCCTGGATGAGGTTCCTGAGGAAGATGGTCTTTTGTCGCAGGGGGTCATGAACTAAGCCCTCAGAAAAAAAGATCATCCCGTGGGGGAAATTGTGCTGCGAGAGCCAGGACACCACACGCTGTTTCTGCATATCAGGACGGCCTGTGATGTAGATGATCAAATATCCCAAGTCCTGCCAATGCCTGGATGTGAATGCATAAAATCAAGCACACATCAAAGTGAATAATTGTATCATGGTGGTATTATCACAGAGAGGATGCGCATAAATCCTTAAAACACTGAGAGCTCCAACAAAGCACGCGTATTGACTATTGAATTTGTATTTTCCTGTGAACCCTTCCACCTTCTCAAGATTTACATGTAGACATACAACCACATGCATGTATAATCAAAAAGGGTAATCAGTTACCTGACCACATCGACAGCTCCAGGACGGACCTTGGGGTCGCTGCCCATGATTGACACACTGGCAGCAAAAGAGCCATCAATGCTGAACACAACACACTCCATGCCCCTTGGTAACACAGTCAGGTAGGCCTCTGCACTAGTCTGATCCCCCCTGTGGATTGAAAAAAGGAGAAACTACATATTAAAAAAAATGAGAACTTAGTTGTTACTCCCTTCAAGGCCACTATTTATGCAGCATTATCCAGCAAGGAGCTCATACTCCAACACAGAGCATAAATAAATGAAATCTTTCTCTTCTTTCTACATCTTATTTGATAATACAGCGCTTTGTAAAGGGAATGCCACGTGGATGCTTACTTGACTACCATTTTAATGGGATATACTCCTAGGCCAAGCTTCTTGGTCTTAGGTATTGTGTATGTGACTCTGCCACTGCTGTTGGTCACCTCTGTGTCAAAGTGCACCCAGCGGCCCGACTGAGGCTGTGTCATGAGCAGGATATCCACCTGAGAGGGGCAGGGGTATAACACATGCGATTAATTGATTAATGCCAGCCTAACAAAGAAACGCACACGCATCAACATAAATCATATCGCTGTTTTTCACCTTTTCTCCAGTCAGAGTGACCATATCCAAGGGGCCATACATGAAGCGACCAACCAGAGTCTGGGGTCCATCCTCGGTGGCAATGACATCATTCACCCTGTGGTTTGCTGTGACGTTCTGCAGTTAGTGACAAGAACTACCTCCATTATTCAGGACACAAATGTAACACGTAAGCCTTTGCGGCAACAACAGTTTGTCTCTGGCGCGCTACCCTGGAGTAAATTTTATGACTCATGCTGAAATGTGATTAGAAGTAACAGAAAAAAGAATCAGTGTCAGAGTTCAAATTAAAAAATTTAAAGGATATTATTGCATAAAAAATATATCTAAATGTGCTATGAGCAACATTTAAACATTTAATAATTCATTCATTCATTTATATGGTTAAAGAACAGTCTGCTACAATTGTTTGATGCCACGTTTGACGTGCTCGATAAATGTGTGGCGTGCCTCAAGGGTCTAACGGTGCTTTTTAATCTTTGTTAATCATTCTTCAAATATCTGTAATTATTAAACTAGACTTAATGCAGTGAATTATTACTCTGCTCTACAGCTGCTGTAAAAATGGTAGAAAAGAGTGCTTTTACAAAACATGATGATGCCCTCTTGAAACTGTCCTTCGACCTTTTAGATGTAAAAACTCATAGTTATATCATTACATCCGAAAACACATTTGTGCAAAGGTTCATTATTATTAGTGCACCATTAAAATGGTAAATGGCCTGTATTTGTATAGCGCTTTACTAGTCCCTAAGGACCCCAAAGCGCTTTGCACAACCAGTCATCCACCCATTCACACACATTCACACACTGAATCCTTAAAAACACATATGAGTGCTCTTTTTCTAAACAAAACAGAAAATGACATTACTTTACATTACTGTATATAAAGCATGTATAAAGACTTTACATCCACTTTATTTCTGTCTGTAGCCTTTCAATTTAAAAAGTTAATAATAACAAGGCAAGAACATATTCCCCACATTTAAAAGTAAATAGTTTAGCATAAAAGGAATTTGTCAGATTAATTACCAGATGAGAAGGGATAACATATAATATATATCATGCTAATTTATTTATTTATTTATTTATTTTGCCTGTCCCATTTGGTTCTTTAGCCATCAGAATTATTTTCTGAAAACCAACAAGGATACCCAATGGGCTTCGTCCCATCCTCGACCTGCGAGTCTTGAACCTGTATCTATGAATGTACAGGTTCAAGGTTCAAGGTACAGGTTCAAGATGCTAACACTCAGACAGCCCTTGAATGCGGTCGGCTCGGGAGATTGGTTTGCAACAATCGATCTAACAGATGCTTATTTCATGTGGCTATACACCCAAAACACAGGCAGTTTCTGAGGTATGCATTCGAGGGCGTAGCCTACGAATACCTAGTGCTGCCGTTCGGGCTGTCGCTCGCTCCTCGTGCCTTTACGAAATGTGCCGAGGCCCCTCAGAGAGAGGAATCCGCATCTTAGCCTACCTAGACGACTGGGCTCTCGTAGCTTGCTCCAGAGAGCAGGTAGAGACACAGCTGTCGCTGGTTCTGTCACACATTCAGACACTGGGGTTCTCTGTGAACTTTCAAAAGAGCTCGCTAATCCCGAGTCAGCAGATTACTTTTCTCGGTTTGGAAATATGCTCGCTTTCCAGCCGCGCGCGTTTGTCGGAGCACAGAGTGGCCGCGTTTCATCGCTGCCTCGCTCAGTTTCATTTGGAACGCAGGCTGCCTTTCCAGACGATATTAAGCTTGTTGGGCATGATGGCATCTTTGATCGCCGTAGTGCCACTTGGACTGTTAAAAATGAGAGCGTTTCAACGCTGGACTCTCTCTCACCGTTCGTGTGCATCGCGTCACCTCCGGAGGAGGCTGCCGGTAACCGCGTCTTGCATGCTAGCTCTCAGTCCTTGGAGGGAGCCCGGGCTGCTCCTGTCTCGCTCTCTGCTGTTATGGTGCAGTGTTCATTTTCTGTCTCTAAGATCCACCCATGTCCCGGGCGGGCCACCTGAACCTGGGGCCCGACCTTCTCTCCACGGGGGGTCCTCTGGTGAGAGAATGGAGGTTACACCCTTTAATAGTGGCTCAGATTTGGGACCTATTTGGCAAGGCGCAAATAGATCTTTTTGCTTCTAGGGTAAATACTCACTGCCCCCTGTTCTTCTCCATAATCGACCACGATGCACCCTTGGGCTTGGACGCGCTAGCGCACCAATGGCCAGACGTGCTCCTGTATGCATTTCCCCCAGTGGAAATGATATCTCCAGTTCTAGAGAGAGTGCGTCGGCATTCCCTCTCTCTGATTCTAGTTTGCCACCTAGTGTGATAGCGACAATTCAGAGCGCTAGGGCCTCATCTACTAGAGGCTTGTATGCTTACAAATGGCGAGCCTTCGAGCAATGGTGCCAGGACCGCCACACTCTCCCATTTCAGTGCTCTATTGTGGATGTTTTGACATTCCTGCAGGAGCTGCTGGATAAGGGCCTTTCATTTTCGACAATTAAGGTTTATTTGGCAGCTATATCTGCTTGTCATATTGGCTGTGACGGGGTGACACCAGGTACACATCCCCTCGCCATACGTTTTCTGAAAGGAGTTCGCCGGCTGAGGCCCGTGCTTAAGTCCAGTGTCCCTGCTTGGGACTTGTCTTTGGTGCTGGAGGCCCTTTGTAGCCCCCCGTTTGAACCCATTGAGTCTGTGGATATGAAATTTCTTTCATATAAGACTGCATTACTTCTCGCTTTGGCAAAGCGAGTGGGTGACCTTCATGCGCTCTCTGTGCATCCCTCCTGCACACAGTTCTCTTCTGATGGCCACAAGGTCGTATTGCATCCAAATGCTGCCTATTTTCCCGAGACCATGCCTGCATCTTCTAGCTCAATGGAGTTTGAGTTGCTGAGCTTTTGCTCCCCTCCTTTTGCATCTGAGGAGCAGAGGAGGATGCATTCTCTTTGCGTGTGCTACGCACCTACATTGAGCGCACTCAGAATGTGCGTTTATGTGACCAGCTGTTTGTCTGCTTCGCTAATCCAAATAGAGGTAGAGCTCTGTCAAAACAGAGGCTGTCCCATTGGATTATAGAAGCTATCTCACTGGCATACGGCACCGGTGGTCTTGCTTTGCCCCACTGAGCAGTTTGGCTCGGTGAAGAGCGGCTATCGAACTGAGGGATGACTGTGATGACAGCGGCTACTTGTGCAGGCGGGGCCGTGCGCTTGTCATCACACATCATCTGCCTTAAAGGCGTGATTAAAGGTTTCTTCAGCCAGGACACGCGAGGGCGTTATATCCCATACTTATGTGTTGTATCTCGTTCCTCTCCTTCAGGGAACAGAAGTTATAGACATAACTATTCGTTTTTCAAGGTTTGTGCTGTATCTAAGGGAACGTCTTCTGTGGATTTAAGATTTCTTGATTTTCTGTCATGTAATCTGAGATGACTCTACAAGAGTAAGTCTGCCTCATCATTTGTTGCAGGACACCTTGCTCCACCTGTAGCTGAGGATTTCTTTATGATTAAGGGTTTATTGTCCGGGGACATGATTAAGCTCTGCAAAGTGAATTTATGAACAGATGCCTTCCTGATGGTAATGTATAATGTATAAGAAACAGAACATCTAAAGCACCTGAACTATTGTGAACGTCCACCAAAATCAGTCGTCACTTTTGTCTGTACATGGCCTGTCTTTACAAGCCTTTGAGACAAACACAATCAGAGGGAATGAGATGAAGAATAGCCATAAATTTTCTGCTTTCATGCCCTGTTTTTCCAAATTTCCAAGTCCAGCTAAATACTGCTGAAGAGTGCACTGTGGGACCTTACAGAAAAGCATGCTAACTCCCTATTAAGCTTCCTTGTCATGTTCTATTCTCCATATTGCACTATTCAGTGAGTACCTCCAAGTGTGCCAGCAGTGGAACACTAATCCCTAAATCTCTTCTTGCTGAGATGGTTGCATTTTAATAGCATATTATGAGCGCGCTAATGTATAATTCACAGACTCTGTTGTGGGTCACCATGACAGAAACTGTAATTTTCCCTCCCTAACGTCTCTGTCATTTCTGCAACCTCAACGTTATACTGAAGAATTTTAACAGCATACAGTGCAAGTTTTATCAGCCTCACGAAGCTAGTATTTCAATTTTGGATTTATGTTTGTACACTGTAACAATAATTGATCAAAATAAATTATCAAAGGGGCCAACTTCTATAAATAAAATATCACAGGTGTACAGCCACACGCGCAAACAAAAGCAGCAGCAACGATAAATTTATTAACTCAATCGTTGTTTACTGGGGTTGTTTCATCACGATTAAGAGGCTCAGATGACATTTCATTTACTTGAAAATGTTCTGCTGTTTATTGACAACACTCAGTGAAAGATAATGGAGCATCTGCACATGACAAATACAGCTAAATGCTAATGTGATCAACCATGTTGTTGTTGTGCTTTACTGTCTCACCACATCGGCTAATGATAATTGATTTAAAGGATGTGACATCTAACAACGAAGTTCAATGTTTCCAGCTGCTATCCCGCATTAGCTTTGTCAACAGTTAATTGTCTGCCAGCAAGAGGCGTCACTTACTCATCCTGTGATGGCAATGCAGAGAGAGAACATGTAAATATATATGTGCATACCTGTGCGTGTACATGCACCAGCATACAGTTTAACAAGATCCCAGCCTGCAGCTATGTGACTTGAGTGCATCACATGGCTCAGCATAGATTTATTTTTTGTGTCATGAACTCTGTGTGGTATATGTGAAAACAATACGAACAAGCAACTTGTGGCTAATGACACCATCAACTCACAGACAAAACTATGGAGGACACGAGTTAGTGAGTCAGACACCTGCCTGTTAAAGAGCAACACACGAGAAGCAACACACGAAACAACTGCCACAGTAGTGGTCCCTCTCCAGCTGTGACAAAGGCCTCTTACCACAGCAAGAAACCTTTGAAATAGTTGCCAAATCTCTCCGAATAACATCGCCCTGCAACAGATCATCTGGCTGTGCCCGGACTGAATCGGCATGGGGCTGCTTTAAATCTACACGTACCGACTCATATCCAGGACGGGGGCAACTGCTTTCAGCACTAACATAAGAATCACATCACTTAGCTGAGGTGAGGCATGAACAAGTCGACACCGAGAAAAAGAAAACCTTCAAACTCAAATATAGTTATGTTTCCATGGCTATTCAGTTCTATTTATAGCCACATGAAAAGCAAGCAGGCACTAATTTTGTGTTTTTAGAAAAGGGATAGCAATGTGACCTTGATTATTCTACTCGGCAGGGTTCAGGAACATCGAACAATTGTGTGCGTCTGCCTGCATCAGTGATTCAAGGTGAATGTGTGGGAGTATTTTAAGATTTTTCCAGCTTCAGATCATTCATGGAGGCCAAAGACTTAACTACTACAGCTTCAGCCGTCTGTAATACCCGTATTTTAACCCTGATTAAGTGCATGTTACAAATTAGGGAAAGATGACTGAAATCAGATTTTGTCTACTTAGAACTTTTACACCCTTTTTGTGTCACTTCATCTGCATCTTGCAATCGAACCCAGTTGTTGCAAACAAAGGCATTTAATTCTTCTTTTTTTAATTTGGATCAACATGCCATCGTTGGTCCATGCCTTAAAGGCACAGCCAATCTCTTAACCACCAGATTTCTGGCTGGCAAACCTGAGGCTCATCACCTAATCAACACCCTGCAGTATATATACACTAGCTCGCAGATTGTTCGTTCAATTGTTGTGGTAGAGAGGAGCCTTTCTCGTTTCCCAAACTCTTGCTCTGATCGCTAGTTTGCTAACCTGCTATCTTTGCGTCCTAGGTTTCCTGTGTGAGCCAGCCAAACCTGTGTCAACTCTGTCTGCTGATTGATTCGACAGCTTGCCAACCCTGCCTGCCACTCTACACGTCTACAGTCTTTGCCAGTGTCAGCCACAGCTGAAAAAGCCTTTTAACTAGACTCTAGGATCATCTTTTTAGTCAGCCAATTCTTGATTCCCAAAACACTGAACATCACGTTAATCTGGTATTAAGGTATATACATCCAAAAAAGGGGAATTTTAATTTTTTACCCTTAGTTTGACATGTGTCCTCCTTCTAAGCCACTTCTCACGGGGACCAGAGGGTGAGAAAGGAGCTGAGTCCAAGTTGTCTGCTTCCTTTGCCTTTATGCAGTCACATCGCATGAGCTGTTAATGAATACAAAAATATTTAAAATAAGAACAGGCATTTCCATAAGATAACACAGGTTTGTTTAACAGTAATGCCACTACTGTGATGGTGGCATTACTGTTAGCTGATATACTGACGAACAGTGCATCTAAAGCCTTAAAAGAGGTTCATCGTGTTTCTAATTCACAGTTTTGTAGAGAATTACTGCATATTGCTTGACTGAGGCTCTGCTTATCATTTTTGACCAGGTGGCCTAAACATCAAGAGAGAGTTTCCATAAAGACAGCAACAGAAAGTCTGACAAATGACTTTTCACACAACTTTTACATTCTGTTACAAATCGTAAATATTCTGCAGCACAAATGATGCTGTACGCCAAGGTTTATTAAATTCCTAATGACTTCAATAGAGCTTTGTTTACTTTGTGCATCTCTAAATCGTCTCCACTGTCTCACAAAGGCAACACACAGCAGATCGAGCCAACACGAAAAGATTTCTTTTCCCTATGGAAGCTCTGCTTTCTAATCATCTGTTTTAAAAGAGTGCCAGTGTTTCTAGAAGTTTTTCATAAGAAATAATGTGATTAAAAAGATGTTTTTCAAATGTATTTACTGGCATAGTGTTCATTGGTGTCTGAGGAGTTACAGATTCTCCTTATCCTTGTTATCATAGGTTAAAGCTGAACTGCCCATAATATTTTTATGGGCAGTTCAGTGGGCAAAATGTGGCATAAACCTTGTCAAGGTTCACTGCTTAATTCCAGCTTTACTGCTAGAAATATATACTGCCAGCATGTTAAGACTCTCCTGACCAAATGATGGGTCCGTATGACTAACTAAAGTTGAGGATGGTAATATGGAAATGACTACAGCTGAGCCTAAGCTGAGAACATATTTGCAGACTTTTGAAATCCTAACCAAAGACTTGGCAGCACACATACATTTTCAAACTTTTGTAGATTTCAGTCATACGCTTATTGAATTTATTTATAAAGCAGACTAAACCACAAAATCAGACATGTCCATATTTTTGTCATATCAAAGAGCAAGCTTGATAAAAGGGTTTCAGTTTGTCAGAGGCTCAGCTGTGATGGGTCAGATGAATCCTGAACAGCTTCACATAAGATCAAGCACGTCAAGTGTAACTTTGCCTTGTTTTGCACATCATGTGTGTGTGCATGTGTGTAAAAGAGTCCTTTAGAGAGTCCTATTTCATGATTTCATGCTGACAGCTGAAACACAGCTGGACAAAAATGTGAAGTTTGACTGGTTGTGGTTGTTGTGGACTTTTGGAATCAGATCAAACTCAAATGGCTGAGTTCCTCACATGCCATCCATTCAATTACAGTGAAGCATGCTCCCATTTACAGTACAGCTGAACCTTTTTCTTCATCTCTGCTAGTCTGAGCGTGAACGATTCTCTGCGTTCTGAATTAGCCTTGTGATAGACAGGTGACCTCTCCAGGGTGCAGCCCTCCTCTTGGCCTGTTACAGCCGGGATAGTATTCAGGCGATCCACGTGACCCTGAATTGGATGAGTGGTTAAGAAAACGGATGGATGGACTATCTCCTAGTGTGACAAATAGGTCAAGTCATTGTATGCTCTTTGAATTACACATTGTATGAAATGTTTTACATTAATAAACTCTTTCTCTTTTGTCCTGTTATGTAGAGAACAGGACAGTTTATTGTTTTAAGCACACTGCATGAAATGCCAGTGCATGAGTCTAAAAACGCCACAGTTTATTCTTATAATGTTAAGATACACTGTTTCCAACTTGACACCTCTGCTCATTATCTCCATGTCCTACCTCCCACACCTTTATCGTTGTTTTTGTTGCTATATTGAACTGCTTTAGAGAGCTGAACTTGTTTTTGGTCTATCTCTCAGAAAGAGTCCAGTGGATGACGCTTTTAGATATTTAAATACAGTTAGGTAAAAAGAAAGTACAGCCTCTGTCATTTTACATATTATGATATAATACAACCACAATTCCAAAAAAGAGTCGCAAATAAAAACAGAATGCAATGATTTGAAAAGAAACTGGCAGCAATTTACCATCTAATTTCCTTTGGAAACAGTAAGTGTGTACATAGACAGAACGAGGATGGATAGGTGGATGTGTTTGTATTTTTAAAAAATGATGGTGGTTCTTTATTTATATAGGCAATAGGCAATTTATATTTCATCATTTGCAGGGAATGAGTGAAAATAAGATTGAAAATATCATCAGAAGTTCAAAGAATCCAACGAAAACAAAAAGCATACCTCATCTAGTGATCATGTCCAGATCAAAGCTGTGATTAAGGGTATAAGTGAGCTGCAGGATTTAGTTAGTCTTCAATTTGAGCTGCAAAAACAGCCATTTTCGAGAACACTAGTTTATTAAATATGCTGTGGAGAAAACAATACTGTTATTAGTAAGGCTCTCTCACCTGCCGAAGAACAAAAGCTGCCACGTCAGTGGACTCCCAGTAGGAGGCGTGAAAAAGGTGAGGCAGAGCCACTGTTGGAAACGCAGTCAGCACATCAGGGCAGTACAGAGCATAGTCCAGCCTCTTGGAGCCCCACCAACTACTGGAAACTGAAACATAAACACACATCCTCATACTTAGATGGGGGGACTGAGGTCACTTTAAAAGCTGTGAAAACTCATCAACTTGAATTAATCTCCAGAAGACAAATGGAAGACGACGGCGTGGCCTTTCTGTCTCTTTGTTTTCCTCCCACTCACTGTTAGCGATGGTGTTTCCAAGTTGGCCCATGGAGCAATTCGACATTTCACTTTCCACACTGGTCACACTGGCTCTACGCCCCCCCTCTTCTCCTCCTCCTTCAGTGTCGGTCTCAGAGGACTGCTGCGAAGTCGGCCCTCCGTGAGTTTGCTCACCTTCCAAAAACACATTTGGATGACTTTGGATACTGTCTGCTATAGAGGGAGGGGGGGAAAGGGGAAATACAAGAACAAATGGAGAGGGAAGAAGAAAGGAAATGCTTTGATTACAACAAATGACTGGTCTGAATCTTTAAATCAATGCTGCTATTTGCCTAATAAGCCAGGTTCTCGCTGTGTATTGACTTGCTTTGCATTTTATAAAGCAAAACCAAAGACAAGCACTATGTATAAGTGTGATAACAGACGAAAAGCTTGTTCCACACTTTGTGGGTTTGAATCAATTTATTAGACTGTATTTGGCATTAGCTTTGGGAGCCAGAAAGCATCTTGCTCTTGGTTCCTGCGGACAAGTAGAATAATCTATCAGGTTGAGTTCCTCGTTTCCCCCAGCAAGGCTCTACACTGCATTTTCCTATTTGTTCTGTCTTAATACTGAAGGTCCCAGAGACCTTGTTTCACTAGACATCCCAAACATAACAGTTTTCTCTCACAGACCCTAAAAGAAAAAGCATCATATGATTATTAATTCAGACAGCAGAGAGGCAAAGGCCTATCAGCTCTGTTCATTAGCACATTTATCTTAACAGCTATAAAAGATTCAGGACAAAAGGAGATTGACGCTGAATGTAACAGAGCTTCTACCTGAGAATATTCTCTGACAAGCTGAACAACAGCAGCAAAAGAAAAACAGCTAAAGGCTCATCTCTTTGTTTGAGAATGCTCCCTTGATGTTTTCTGCTTTGACCTATACTATAAAACTTTTTTATCTCTTGAGAGTAATGATTATCCTATTACCGAAGCCATTTTTTATGAAAGTAGAATGGCAACTACAAACCCACCATTACATCTCTATCTCTCTTTCTCTCCTGAGAGCAAATGCTAATCAGAACACATCGTGTCTGGGCTGGTCTTTGATCGGCACTTCGGATACAGCATACCCTTCACAGTTTCTTCTATCAGTTTACTTCTACTTGTGCCAAACATAAACATTAACATTACAGATAAACATCTGTAGACATTGTGGATGCCTGCCTCTATTCAGTATCTTCAAATGGCCGTGATGTGTCAAAGTCATTATCCAGAATTTTCAGTTTGTTTCACAGCTTGTTATGCTCACGTTAGCCCTTTCTCTGCTGTTGGATGGCTATAAATATGCCAGCAGATGAAGCCCCATGTTGCCTGTTTGGTTTGAGAAGGATGAGCAACTGCAGCAGAATACAGATTAACTGCGGCTCTCAGAAACATGGGGGAGAATCAGCGGTGGTTAACGAATCCCCGCAGTCGAGGCAAAGAATAGTCCACATTCGGTCTGTTAGGAAGATGATGAAGAAATCTGACACATACTCTGTACTTATCAGTGCCGGGCATCTGATTGCCAAATTTTCTGTGTCACAGGTCTGTGTTATGTGAATATATGTGGGAAGAAAAGACATTTCTAGATGAGAAGGGAAAAATGTAACTGTTCAGTATTTTAGGGGTGTTTTAAATGAAGTCTACCAGTTTAAAATATAACTTCAATGTTGTGTTACATAAACACATTTGTGTGGTGATGAGCATGTGGGGTCCTGCATTTGTTTGAAAATGCAGTCTTTTAACAGATAACTACTCAAATCTTTGCAGTTCGCATTACTGGACATTGTTTTTACTTATGGCAATATTTTTTTTTAAGGATATGTACTGGGGATGACACAACGATTCAAAAACAGGATTGTTATCTAACACTGTGCTGTGGAGAGCAATCTTTCATTATCGGTCCCCAACTCAG